TGAGATGGATACCGCTCCTAATGGATAAACTTTCTTCCCTGGAAAATCCAACAAAGGGAGCTTTGATAGGCCTTAGTTTATGCATTCCCACATCTAGCTAATCAAAGACACTAGCAAAGATTATATCAATTGAGCTGCCACTATCTATCAAGACCCTTTGCACACCGTGGTTTGATGCAATTATTGAAATGACCAAAGGGTCATCATGTGAAAGGCGAAGTCATTTGAGGTCTTTGTTAGAAAAAGTAATTAGTGATATGAATCTAGGTATCTTTCTAGGTGTACCAAGCTGACCTCTTCTATATCAGAGTCAGTGCCAACTCTTCTTACGTAGGCTTATCTCATCAAGCTACTTTATCCTCTAGCTACCACTCCTCCTAAAATCACCTATATTTTGCCTAAAAGGTGTCGTGTTCATGAGCCTCTAGAGGTGGAGCTATCTTTTCTCTCTTGTTTCTGTCAATGAACCTTCCTAGATGGCCTCGTCGAATTAGTTCTTCTATCTGATCTTTCAGGGTGATACAATCCTCTGTATCATGCCCATATCTTGATGAAATTGTCAATACTTGTCCCTTGTTCATGATAGGGTGTTTTCATCTTTTTAGGCCACTTGAGGACATTGCCTTCATTCACTTGGAAGAGGGCTTGTTCCCCCGTGGTGCTTCGAGGGGTATACCCTTAAAACCTAACCTAGTAGAAAACGAGGCCTCAATTTTTATCTTGTTGCTACTCGATCAAATCTTCCTTTTTTTAATGCAGTAGCTTTATCAAGCTTCTCCTGATCTTTTTGGCTCCTTTCTGTGAAGCGGTAATGTGACTTTGAGCTCCACATTCATATGACTTTGAGCTCTGGAAAGGAGCTCCACCATACTTGTGGGTGTAGCCTTAGCTAACAAAAATAGGAATCTGGAAGGTTGTAATCATCACATGAAGGCGAACAAGGCCACTTTATCGTCTACACAGTCAATTTGCAACGATTCCTCACTGAATCGTGCCACGTACTCTTGAAGTGATTTTTCTTTCGCTTGCTTGAGATTCAATAGGTAGGTAACTGATTTTGTATGAGTTCTCCCTCTAATGAAATGGGAGAGAAAAGACTTTGCTTAATTCAACAAATGATCCAATAGACCTAGGAGGGAGCCTATTGAACTATAGCCAAGCTGCCCCTTTGAGGGTGGTTGGGAAAACACAATATATGATCTGGTCAGAGACATTATGAAGCAACATAAGGGACTTGTAAGTCTCTAGACTGTCTAGGGGATCCTTCTTCACATTAAAACGGTCTATCATAGGTAGTTTAAACTTTGGGGGCAGTGGATAATGTGTAACATCGTGCAAAAGCAGGGACTCTAAAAGTTGGCCCAAGATTTCCATAATATCTAGAGCCCTAACTTTAACTGTATTAAGCATATCTTTGATGTAATTATTGACCTCCCTAAATTGTCGGTTAAGGGTCACTTTTCTTCTGTTGGTGAGGAATGTCATTGTGGCATTTCTTGCTTGATCGCATTGAGTTTCTCTTGAATGAGAGACCTGTTGAGGAGGTTGGCTAGCAAACATATGTAATATTTGTTGGGTTTGCTAAGCAAATTCCTCCATGATCTGCTTCATTCTGTCGTAATTTACTTCCAGATTAAGCATCCTCTGAATTTCTTGACATTGATAGCTTAAGGGGGCTCTTGATCATGGTTGTCTCCTTCGGGCATCTTCTGCTATTCTCCAAGGATATTATCTCTAGTTACATCCATAAATCAAGTAGTCATTATTCAAAATTGTTCTTCTTAGGGAATTGTGCGATTCACCGAAATATTCTAGTCAATTCCCATAGGTAGTGCCAAAGTATTGTAGCAAAATTTGTCTCAACCTCCACATAAGCTAGGTTGGACTTTGTTCACCTCTGCGCCTGCTTTTCGCTAGTCTAAATCAAATCTTCAAGGCTCCAAGTAAGGTTTTTGAAGGACCAGACTGGTAGATCTAAAAAGAAGTCAAAGACCAAATAGGGGAGCTTCAGGGGTCGATCCTTTGATGCTTAAGTTAGTAATTGGTGAAAGCTGAAGTGTAGTGTTTAGGAACAAAGTTGTGTACCTTTGGCGTTTCCCTTGGGGTCCGTTTTGTTTGCAAGAAAAAGATGATAGAAAGTGAAAGAGATAGAAAGTGAAGTGAAAGAAAAGAAAGTAAAAAAAAAATATTTTCATGAATGCATTTTGGTTAGCATGAAAAATTTCTAAATTTTTTTTAAAACAATTCATTCCATTGTTTGAAAGAAAGGAAAGTTACAAGAAATTTTTTCTAATTGTCTAAATTATCCTCAATTATTTTAACACGGTTTAAAGAAAAAAAATATTTTTTTTATTCAAATTTTAAAAAAATTGGCGCCTAACCTAATTCATAGACAAGAATTGACTTGAACTCTAATCTCTAGATAAAATTATATGGTTAGCCTAATTTGTACAAAGTTTTTGAAAATTAATAATTAATTGAATATTTTAAGAAAAATAAGAGTAAAATGAGAAGTTTGGTTATTGAACACCACTTTCTTGCTTTTTCTTGTGTTTTTTTCAAGAAAAAAAAAATTAGTTAGATGTGAGAAAATTTAAATATGAAAGAAAATTATTTTTTCGATCATTTTCTATTTCCTGCTAACGAAACACATATAAATTTTTTTCTCTTTCTTGCATTTTCTAACATTATCTTACTAAACAAACGGACCCTTAAGCTCCTTTTTATATTTTAAGAATCAATTTTTGTAAAGGAGTGGACTTTAGACCCCCTTATCCACTGTTGGGGAGGGGGGGATCAGACTCCTTCTTGAGGAGTCTAGACTCCCTTATCATTATCGTAGGCAGGCAGGCACGACTCCTTTTAACATCCGTTCATGCTAATAAGGAGGTTGAGATTCCTTTGAGACGAGGGGTCTAAACTCTTTGCAGACTTTCCAGACTTTCCAACAATAACTATTTTGAACGGATGACTCTTGTCATAGCCTTTCCCAACAGTACAACTAATTTTTTCCTCATTATAATTAATTTTAACTTCTGAATCACCCATTTAGGACGACTTTAGATTTTCTCTAATATTTTTTTAGATTTTTATTCTTAACAACTCATTCAAGTGAGACGCCCATATATGTGTAATAACTTCCATTTGAATTCATAATAAAGTGAACTACCAAGAATGATGATGAAGAGAAACTATAGTGGTGGGGAATCTTATTTTTGTTTACTATTGTAGCTATATTTTTAGGACTCTAATATATTTTCTCTTAATTTTTTTAGTGGTAAATCATCTGAATTTAAATAGGATTTAATATATATAATTTAGCCCCTCACTTATTAATGATAAAGAGATGCCAAGAAGAAGAGAAACGAATAAAACAAGAGTAATGCTACAGAGATCTAATTTAAAGACCTAATTTAATGCAGTGGTTGAATTAGTTGTAAATTTAAATATTAGATGACGCACATTTTTAATAAATTAGTTGCATTAAATTAAGTTCTAATCTAGTCCAAATTACATTTTCCATAAAAAAAATGTTAGACTACACAGCTGCTGGTATCAATGTTAGTAATTAATTGTAGAATGTGTCCATGGGTTGGCTCATGGATCTTGTTACTTGGCCTAAAAAAATAGGCTTGATAATTAGCTTGCATGAGCCTGAGCTCAATATATTTCAAGAGAAGAGTTGAACTTGCCTGAAAAACCTATTATTCGGTCTAAAACTTGGCCCATGAGTCCATGCCACCCAACTTATCTGCTCTCTTACTCAATTATTTGAAAAAAAATTGACCATTGAAACTTTAAAAGTTTAGTGGCAACAGATGAATTACTAGGGATATGCTTATTCTATTAGTTCCTCCCTTATTTCATAAATAAAATTATTTATTATTTATTATTTATTCATTTTAAGTCTAATTTTAATTCAAAAATATAATTTATAAAAATATTAAATTAATTTTTTTTTAAATAAATCTTTATATATATATAAAAAAAAGAACTGTCTAGTGAACGGCGGATTGAACTGCAATAACTTACCCCTATTCAAAACCTGTCCCGTCCTATCCAATAACTCGCCGAGGTAAGAGTTTAAGTCTACCTAAGTTAAATCCAATTCAAACACAAATCTCGGGCTTAGCCGACACCCCTAGCAGAATGAGTCCAACCTCTCTCTCTCTCTCTCTCTCTCCAGTCTCCACCTACCCTGCTTGGCGTTTGTGACCAACAACCTCACAGCAGTTGTGAGGATTCTAAGAATATTCTTCTATACCAACCAATTTGTTTTTCTGGATACCTTTGTTGTGGTATACTTCCAAAATAAAAAATAAAAAAATTAAACAAATTGTTTTATCTTTTTACAGATAAAAAAAAAAAAGAAAAAAGAAACAAACACTTTATGTCATGACTATGAAAAAGCATAAACGAAAAAAAAAATAAAAAACAAATTTTAAAGGTCTTAAAAATTTATAAAATAAAATAAGACAAAATTTAATAAGTTTATTCAAAAATCTTAAATAGACTCATTTAACCGTTATTAATATTATTTTCAAAATTATTCACATTGTATAATATTTTCATGCACGGATTACCCATAATGGAGATAATATAGAAGAATGACTAAATATCAATATTGTACCAAATTTATAATTTGTTGAGAAATAAATTACAACTATAAAAGACATAGTCAATTCTAAAATTTTATAATTGATCATGAAAATTATATTTTTTAAAAATAAATATATTATTTAAGGATTAAATTATATATTTTAAATATAAAATGATAATTTATTTATTAAAAAATATAATAATAACTTTTGGTACGATAATAAAATTTTTATGGGGTACCGAAGAATTACACGATATTGTAAAAGTAGTAGGATCCAATTACCATGGACCTGCATTTATCTTCAAGAAATGCTCAAACAATAACAAAATATTTAATTCAAACACTTCCCATTAAAAAGTAGAGAAAAAAGTATTGGAAATATAGAGGGACACGCTGTAACACTAGATAGAAGCAACTGCCCGTTGCTGCTCAAACAGAACTTTTGTTCTGAAGCTTCAACAGAGACAACATCAATCCATGACAGACCCAGAAAATTTAGCTCACTAATCTCCGACTATCAATAGTTGTATTGACGTTCACAGTTTTTGTTTGCCGTTCGAAGACTTTGTTCAATGGGTTTTCTCCTCCATTACATTGGGCACACGTTACATTAATGTCAGTAGCTTCTGTTCTTTAGTTTCCTTTCTGGAAGGCCTGTTCTTGTTATGGAAAATGTTGTGGCTTTTACCAGTTGGTGAATCCATTACTGGGTTCGATTGGAAATACCCATATGCACGTTTTACAAACTGTACTTATTAGTCAAAGGTCAAAAGTAAGGTATGAATCTGTATTTTTTTGGGTGCAAAAGGATAGATTTTGCATGAAAATTTGAGCTTCACACTTCAGAGGGCCTTTGTTTTTGTTTTTTCTTTTTTTTGCAGTTGATTAAAGAATTTGATGAAAAAGAAGAAGCAAAATTCTGTGACTTTTGAACTGGATTTTCCTATGTTCAAAGGTATTGGGTTGTAGTGATTAGGGTTGCAGAGAATGGTTGGTGGTAGAAGAAAAAAACAGCTTTTTAGTAGAATTTATGCCTTCTCCTCTGGGAAAGCTTCTTCTGATGTGGAATACTCTCTCATTGGAGGAACAGATTTCTCAAGGAGAGTTTTTTGCAACGACCCTGAGATTTTTGAGACAGGATATCCTAACTATGAGAACAATTATGTAAGGACTACCAAGTATACTCTCGTGACATTTTTTCCCAAAGCATTGTTTGAGCAGTTCAGGAGGGTTGGCAATGTATACTTCCTCATCTGCTCTTTTTTGGCCTTCACGCCACTCGCTCCTTATTCTCCACTTAGTACCTTTCTTCCGTTTGTCTTAGTCATTGGTGTTACAATGGGGAAAGAAATGGTTGAGGATTGGAGGCGGAAAAAGCAGGTAACAGGATTTTGATTGCATGATTTAGTGGACACCCATTCTAATGATGAACCTCTTTATTTGTGGCTTTATTAGTTCCTTGGGGCATTTTTATATAGTAGTGCTAATTCCATATTGTTTGAGTGAATTTTTTTTGTGGCTGAATCAAATTTAATAAATTTGGTAAATTTATGGGTAGGGAGCTCTCTATTGTTATATTATATGGCAGAATAGTAGGTGTGGAATTGATGGAGTTAATCAACAATTCAATGAGTAATCTTCAGGATAATGTCAGCTTGTCAAAATATTGTCATTTGGGGTTAGGAACAAGTGATTTTTATTCAGTGAAATGGCTAAAAACATGATGAAAAATATACCTCAGACATTGACATATGAGTAGATATGTCATTTTGCAGTTCTATTCTTGGCTTCTTCAGGATCTAGAGTTGCTTCTAGACCCCTTAGGGTTGTTTGCTTTTGCCCGTTTGATATTTTGATGCTGATATTGATGATGACTATATGTTCTTTTGGCTCTCTATCCATCCAGAGTATAATCTAGTCTGTGGGTATGTTACCAGGATATTGAGGTGAACAACAGAAACGTTAAAGTGCATCATGGTGATGGCAGTTTTGGGAATACTAAATGGATGAATCTGAGAGTTGGGGATGTGGTGAAGGTGGAAAAGGATGAATTCTTTCCTGCCGATCTCATCTTACTTTCTTCATGTTATGAGGAAACAATTTGCTATGTTGAAACTACAAACCTTGATGGAGAAAACAATTTGAAACTAAAGCAAGCATTAGAAGCAACTTCAAACTTGAACGAAGACTCCAAGTTTCGAAATTTCAAGGCAATAATTAAATGTGAAGACCCAAACGCAAATTTGTATTCCTTTGTTGGAAGTTTGGAGGTTGAAGAACAAATGTACCCTCTTACAGCTCAGCAACTTCTTCTTAGAGGCTCAAAACTAAAGAACACTGACTACGTCTATGGGGTCGTTATCTTCGCAGGTCATGATACAAAGGTCATTCAAAATTCCACAGCACCACCATCGAAGAGAAGCAAGATCGAGAAAAGAACAGACAAAATTATCTATTTGTTATTTTCTGTCTTGGTTTTCATGTCCTTTACTGGGTCAGTTTTCTTTGGTATTGCCACTAGGGAGGACTTGGAAAATGGCAGGATGACAAGATGGTACCTTAGGCCAGACGATACCTCTATTTACTATGATCCAAAAAGAGCACCAATTGCAGCAGTTCTACATTTCTTGACTGCCCTTATGTTGTATAGCTACTTGATACCTGTTTCCTTGTATGTTTACATGGAAATTGTCAAAGTTCTCCAGAGCTTGTTTATTAACCGAGATTTGCATATGTATTATGAGGAAGCTGACAAGCCTGCAATAGCCCGTACCTCGAATTTGAATGAAGAACTTGGACAAGTCGACACAATACTTTCAGATAAAACAGGAACTTTGACTTGCAACTCTATGGAATTTATCAAGTGTTCAGTAGCTGGGACATCATATGGCCGAAGTGTCACAGAAGTTGAGAGGGCTTTGGCTGGGAGAAAAAGGTCATCTTTAGCTCAAATGGTGACAGAGGAATGGGGCTTTGTTGAGGATTCTCCTAAACCTGAGCCATCTGTTAAGGGTTTCAACTTTGCAGATGAAAGGATTATGATGGGTAATTGGGTAAATGAGCCTCACTTGGATGTCATCCAGAAGTTCTTTCAGTTGTTGGCTATCTGCCATACTGTCATACCTGATGTAGATGAAGAAACCGGAACAGTTTCATATGAAGCTGAATCTCCAGACGAGGCAGCCTTAGTAGTTGCATCCAGAGAACTTGGATTTGAATTCTATGAGAGGACTCAGACAAGCATCTCATTTCTTGAGTTAGATCCTATGTCTGGCAGGAAGTTCAAAAGGTCATTTCTTGCATTGATATTATGCATCAATTTTAGAAAGATAACTTCCTCAGCGCACTTTCTTGCTGCTGTGAGCTTTTGGTTGGGTCAGTTTATTTTGTTTTAGTTACCAATACCATGTTCTAATTTTTTTTGTTGTTCCATCAAGGAAGTGCTGCACATGTTCAGATGACATTCAGACTTGACAATTTTTCAGGTTGTATAACCTTTTGAATATCTTAGAGTTTAGTAGCTCAAGAAAGCGGATGTCTGTGATTGTAAGAAATGAGGAGGGAAAGCTGATACTACTCTGTAAAGGTGCTGACAGGTTAGTAAAATTTATAATCAATTTATAGCTTACACATTTTTGAATTCAGGTCGAGTCACTAAGGGGTAATGAATTGCATACTTGAATGGAAGTTTTTAGTGCTCCAGATTGGCTATGTATTATCTCTTCTAACTAATAACTTCCAGCATTCATAGTTTTTGTTTTTTTTTTCTCCAGCTATTTTATGCATAATAGATAACACTTAATGAAGGAGCCATTATCTTGAATTCCAGATACCACCCATCTTCCCCTAAAGGACAACCTGCCATGCCTTCTCTGTGATTTTTACTTGAAGCTCTTAATACTTATATATTTTGGTAGTTCTTTGGAAAATTAGTAATTTTTTTTAGTTTCAAGAAAATATATATTGTATCGCTGTGGTATATTCATAAAGCGAAGTGACTAATTAAAAGAATGAAACCTAATATGTAGAAGTAATTTTTGCTAAGATTATAATGTAATTGCTTTATTTTATGCTCTTTTGACATGTAATTATAGATAATACTTAAGAAACACTCACATGTCTTTAAAGCAATATGAATGTTTTGTTAATATATTGTATGATATGTGAATTCGAAAAGAAATGTTAAAAGTTTAACTCAAAAATTATATATGTGAGCCGACCACAAAAGTATATGTGAAGTATCATAATATTTATTTATTATCGGATACGTAGAAAGTGTATCTGATACGTATCCGACGAGTATCGTATCCAATAAGATATTCGATACGGATAAGTATCCGACGAGGATCGTATCCGATAAGATATTCGATACGGATACGTCAGCCTCAACGAAGTATCTACCCTTCATAAGTTTTCTTTGACTTTTCTTTGACACACTATTGACTTTGTTTGCACAAGCAGCATCATGTTTGAAAGACTGGCAACAGATGGAAGGGAGTTTGAAGAGCAGACTAAGGAGCACATTAATGAGTATGCTGATGCTGGTTTAAGGACTTTGGTAGTTGCATATCGTGAACTCGATGATCAGGAATACAGTGAGTTCAGTGATGAATATGCAAAAGCCAAGAACTCAGTGAGTGCTGATCGTGAGGTAGTGGTTGAGGCTGTTGCAGATAAGATTGAGAAGGATTTGATCCTTCTTGGTGCAACAGCTGTTGAAGACAAACTCCAAAATGGGGTATGATTGAAAATATTCAAGACAAAAAAAAAAAAAAACATAAATACTACAATGGATGTGAAATCAATTTCGCTGTTTCTCATTTCCCTTTTATATCTAATGTTATTATTGGGAGTGGAATCTTAGCAGAAAAAAGTTTCATCAACAGAAATGATATAATGTTATTCACTTTTAACTCCATTGTGGAATCCTTCATGTAATGAGTTGTTCTTTCATGTAACTCTTTTGAGCTGTCATGATAACTGAATAAATTCATTTCAGATGCTATGTTATGCAAAAGTTATTTGTTTCACTTCTTTGATGAATTTGACTATCAATTGAACTTGATGACTTCCTTCTGATATTGGGTATTTTAATCGAAATTGAATTTTCCTTTTTGGGCGGAACAGGTTCCAGAATGCATTGACAAGCTTGCACAAGCAGGAATAAAAATATGGGTTCTGACTGGAGATAAAATGGAGACTGCAATTAACACTGGGTATGGTTGGTGAACAATAATTATGAATTATGGCATTAATAGATTTTTTAGCCAATTTTCAAAACTTGTCTGATTTTGAAGTTAAATTTTGCAGTCATGCTTGTAGTTTGCTTAGAAAAGGGATGAATCAAATAATAATCAGCTCTGAGACACCAGAATTTAAGGCATTGAATAAAGCTGGGGATGAGTTCAATGTCTGTGAGGTAAGTCTTAACATGTAATCTTGTCCTCTTGGCATTCAATGTACTGAATTGGAAAGGTGCCGTTGAAATGTACTGATCTGTAGCTAACAACGAAGTTTTGAGAATGTTCTTAATGCCTGACTACTTGATGATTTAGTAAACTTGCATAGGCGTAACTTGCATAGAAATATATGTACATTAGTTAACCAACTATGGACTACAGTTGTTGAGAGCATGTTTACCTGCAAGATAGGTGGGTGGGTGGGTGGAAGAGAGGGAGGTTATCTAGATAAATGGGTAAGTTGCTGGGAGTCTATTTCTAATGAAACACAGTAATAATATCTTAAAATGCTCAGGCAATGCAATTTTTTTGTATGCTAATCATTTTTCAACTTTAAGGCAAAGGGTTTCACCAATATCTTGTGACATTGAGGTAAGAGGGTCTTATATTTATTCTCTATTTGAGAGCCGGCAAAGTATAGGACAGAAATGAGTACTTGAATCTCATAACACCTAGGTGTGTTGGCGTGTTTTTTGTAAGTTTTTAACTTTCTTCTCTTCCTACTTAATCAAATGGAGCATGCAGCACCAAATAAACTTTTTTGATGCTTTATCACAAGTTCTTTTTGAAGGCTAGCCTCACATTCCGTTTCTCCTCTTTTAACTTCTTGCAATGAAAAGATATGTCAAAGTGCAGCCACTAGCTTAAGAAAAGTGAGAAATGTAGATGTGACTAAGCATGGAGCTTTTCATTTTTGAAGATGAACAAAAGATGAAGATTGCAGTATCAATTTCATTTTTTGTTGGGTTACAAGAAAGTGGATGTTTTCTGAGTTTGGAGGCTTTTCAGAATATTATAATCAGCAAGCCCATACCTATAGTTCTTTCATGCTAGAGAACCTCTTAGACTTGCCCATGTGGATTAATCGATTGCTCAATAAACAATGGATTGGAAACGTAATTCTTTAACGTTTGACCCTCTTCAAAACCATGTCTGGCTACAGTATGAAACTTGAGTTCCTGCTGTAGAAATTTCAGCCTTGCTATGACCGACAAAAATGAAGTGCAACTGTTGCCCTTGCCCAAAATTGTGGAATATATATCTTAAACATTAAATATGCTGGAATGAAATTTCCTTTTCAAATGGTGTTTTCATCATGGTTAGTTGTAATGGCATAACCTCTGTAACATTAGTTCTCTTTTTGAGAGTTTGCTGAAGCCTTTTCTCTAGGCATCGAGATCAAGCATCCTCAATCAGATAATTGAAGGGAATGTATTGCTTGAAGAATCAAGTGAGAGGTCTGAGGCATTGGCTTTGATCATTGATGGAAAGTCCCTTACTTATGCCTTGGAGGATGATGTGAAGGACTTGTTTCTAGAACTTGCCGTTGGCTGTGCATCTGTCATATGCTGTCGTTCATCGCCTAAACAAAAAGCACTGGTAAGTTTCATTATTTCTACTTCTATGTCGTGCTAAAAGTTCTTGGGAAGCCATTTTTTTTTAACACATTGGGGAGCTTTTTTTCAAATTTTACTTTCACTGTATGACACTTACATGGTGAAAGCATGTATTACCGGAAAATCGATTAATATAAACTTTTTTAGACAATTTCACTTTCTTACTAAAAGTATTTATCAAAAAACTGTGAATCCTATGAAACCTCAAAAAATTCTTTAAATTCAAATTACTTAAGGCGAAGTATGTCAGTTCAAGAAGGAAAAGCAAGTCTAGTACGTGGTAATTAAAATCAGGTTGCAGGTTACAAGACTGCTGAAAGTTAAAACTGGTATGACCACACTAGCAATTGGGGATGGGGCAAATGATATTGGGATGCTTCAAGAAGCAGACATTGGAGTTGGTATCAGTGGTTTTGAAGGAATGCAGGTGAGCAATTATCTGATAAGGCAATAGTACACCCCATAGCATCAACTGCAAATAGTATATTGTTGCCTGAACTAGCATGTTTCACTAAACAATTTCTTAAGTCTCCCATCTCAGTCTCTCATTTAGTTTGTACTGTCTATTGTTGACCAATTTCAGGCAGTCATGTCAAGTGACATTGCAATTGCACAATTCCGTTTTCTGGAGCGCTTACTGCTTGTGCATGGCCATTGGTGCTACAGAAGGATCTCATCAATGGTAACATCTTTACTTGTACACTCGGTGTTCAGATTCTTCCTTCTCTTTAGGTTCCTTGATCAAGGTGTGAACTTGCAATTTTATTATCAAAATTTGAAAATGTTTGGAACAGAAAACCATTTTAGCATTACAAAATTCTTTATCAAATGAATAGTTAACACTTACTATATTGAAAAAAATTTGCTTTAAGCTTTGCCTTCGGACTATAAATTGAATTTCCTAATCATAACTACTTTCCAACAAAACTGTTGACAGTCCCAAAACCCAAATTTGGAATTGCTAATGTGTTCTGTTTGCTACTTGGCAGATATGCTATTTCTTTTACAAGAACATTGCTTTTGGTTTCACTCTTTTCTTCTTTGAGGCTTATGCATCATTCAGTGGACAAACTGCTTACAATGACTGGTACTTGTCACTTTATAACATCTTTTTCACGTCACTTCCCGCGATTTCCCTTGGAGTGTTTGACCAGGATGTATCTGCACAGTTTTGTCTCGAGGTAGGGTCCAAGTTACAACCTTGCATTTCCCATTTCGTATTCATAATTTGATTTTTTTTTTTTCAAAATCTTGATGATTTGGTGAGACTTGAGACCTTAAAAAACTGGTGTTGCAGTTCCCTGTATTATACCAAGAAGGCGTTCAAAATGTCCTGTTCAGCTGGTTACGAATTCTTAGCTGGATGCTTAACGGTGTATTCAGTTCTACCTGCGTCTTCTTTTTTTGCATCTTTGCAATGGAGAATCAAGCCTTCCGCAAAGGTGGTGAAGTTGTTGGCCTAGAGATCCTTGGCACGACCATGTACACGTGTGTACTGTGGGTCGTGAACTGCCAAATGGCACTCTCTATCTACTACTTTACGTTTGTACAACATCTCTTTATTTGGGGTGGAATTGCATTCTGGTATATCTTCATGTTGGCATTTGGAGCCATGGACCCCTACATATCAACAAATGCCTTCATGGTTTTTGTTGAAGCCTGTGCACCATCCTTGTCCTTTTGGCTGATGACACTCCTCGTACTAGTCTCGACTCTCCTACCGAACATTATTTCCTCAGCAATTCAAATGCAGTTTTTTCCTATGTACCACCAGATGATACAGTGGATAAGATTTGATGGGCAATCTGATGACCCCGACTTCTGCCGTCTGGTGCGTCAAAGATCACTGACACCTAGAACGGTTGGTTCTACCGCACGATTTGAAGCAAAATCTCGTAGCTGGAAAGAGAATCCGGAGGATCCAAGCTGAACAGAAATTTGTGAATATCTCAGCAGAAGTTGCAACACAAGTTTCTTGTCATAGGTACATCAAGAGGCAATAAATTGGCCTTTCACAAGCTCTGCATGGCAAGGAAATGCTGGTCAAGTCTTGGGGATTATTATAGCTTAAATTTAACTAGTCGACACATCGGAGAATTTTGTGTTCCTTAATTCATAACTAGGCATAGACATCTTTGTACATCTTTAGAAGTCAATGAACAATATCATTTAAACTAAGGCTAGTAGCAGTTATCACTGTGGTCTTCCTTTCATTTCTGTATCATATAGAACTTGACATCTTTAAATATAAGCAGCCTTGCACATTACATATGGCAAAGCTAATGATGCACACACCAACTAATCTATTTGAGGTCTCATGGGGCCCAACCAAAAATTTTAAGTGTTGGCTACGGTGTAAGAGTAAGGTTGTTCTACAATGATTGAAGCGGCAAGGATTGGACAGTCTCTTTCCAAGTGTGGGGGGTAAGATTATGCACTTCAAATTTTCTTTAAATCCTGTATTAATAGGAGTCTTGTGCACTAAACCGCTATTTAGTAGATCTTGTGTTGTACCTGTATTTTTGCCAACCCTATCAGGTTGTAAGAGTGATATTTTGCAGTATAATAAGTATATGGGTTTGTGAGAGTTGTATTAGTTAGTATGATCTGTTGTATCAAAACTAGACTTCATCTCAATCATGTACATTGAATCTCCATCATCAGATCAATTATTTTATCATAAAGATCAAGTTAATCAAGGATGAAAGCTTTAACATTCCATCACCCTCAAGCTATGAAACTGGAAGTTCAAGAAAATTTGCAGCGGACTAAGCCATAATGGTTGCAAATTCATTGCAACTAATAACACCGTCGCCATCTGTATCAGCCCCTCGAATCACCTTGGTACCGTTCCTATTTCGATATCGTAGGAGAAGATTACTATATTGGAAAAAAAAAAAATTTGATAGCGTACTGCCATTACAAATTTTTAAACTTTTTAAAATAAATTTCGAGGGTGATTTATAATTTTTGAAATAGATTAAGACTACAAAATTTTAGAATCGATCACAAGCTACTATTTTTATCACTTTTATTCGATACAACAAAAAAATACTAATTTTATGAGTAATTTATTATATTTGTGGGTATTTTTATTACTGATGTGATAATTAGAAATGAAACCAAAATATTATCTTAGGGGGTCCAAACTTTATGAACAAAAATTCAAACCAATAATATGTTATATTCTATGAAGCATAGATCTTTCGAGCTTGTCTTAAAAGTCTCGATATCGAATATGATATTTATTAGATATTCGAGGATTTATATTTATGAGCAGAGCTACATAGTGGCCACGGTGGGCACGGGTCCACCCTCAATTATTTTTACTTATATTTATATATTCTAAAAATTACACATATTTTTTACTTGTGCCGTCTTATAATTTTTTTATTTTAATTATTTAGTCTTTTTTATTGTTTTAAAGTTTTCTCCAAATAATTTTAATTTTATTATTTATGAATTTTTGTAAGTGAAAGTTATTGTAATTGACCTTCATTAGACTTCTTTTTCTGCTCTGAAAAATTGACTTTATTTCTATTCGAGTATTAATTATAATATTTATTATGTGTCATCAATCGATTTTTAATTTTTTTACTATTTAGCTCTTAAATTTTAGTTTAATAATTTTATTATGCTAACATCTCAGTGATAATATTTGGAATAAACAATAAATTTAATGAATTGTTAGTGAATAATTGATATTTTTTAATTTAAAAAATGATAATTAACTCCACTTTTTTATAATAGTGATAATTAATTATTTTTTTATATGTATACAATATACATTATTTTTTGCCCTCTTTTTATATTAAATGGACTTCTTGTATCAAATATGATATAATAAATATAAATATATTAAGGCTAATCTCAACTTGCACCCCCAAAAATCACTTAAATCTTAATTTGTACCCTTAAAATTTAAAAATATTAATTTACACTCTTAAATACATAAATTCGTATCAATGTGTATCTACAACTAAGGTAGTGTTTGATAAAACTGAAAGCTGAAGTCTGAAAACTAAAAGTTGAAGTCTGAAAGTTGAAAGCTGAATACTGAATTTGTAGACTGTTTGATATTCACTGAAATTTAAGTTTTGAATTGAATTAAGCTGTTTGATAACTACACAGAGCTGACATTTAAAAATAAATTAATTTTCAGTTTTACCCTTCAACTCTTTAATCTGAAAATATTTATAAAATATGTTATAACATAAATCATAATCACTATTATTATATTGTAGTTTATATTTAACAAATATTTGATCAAAATAAATAAATAAATAACATCTGAAAAATACAATAAGTGAACAATAACAAATTAAATAACATAATAAATGAACAATAACATCAGATAAAAAGAAGAATAATAACTAATAAATAATTAAATAATATTAAAAAAATACAATAAATTATATTTTATTAACAATATATGTGTGTGTGTGTGTAGTGCATATGTGTGTGTATAATTACGTGTGTGTATAATATTGTGTGTGTGTGTAGTGCATGCGTTTGTGTGTATAATTATAATTATGTATATATTACAAAAGACAAGGGAAAGAAAAAAAAGAAGAGATCGACAAGGAGAATATATAGGTTAGGGGTTTTGAAGAAAAGACTAATTTGAGTTTTAATAGGATTGTAAAATATTTTGGTATATAATTGTCACATTATAAATATTATTAAATATAATTTTGGTGAGCACTTTCAGCTTTTAGAATTAAGTAATAGATCTCTTACTTAATATTGTAGTCTATTTTTAAGGAGCGCTTAACATATTAAGAGAGTTTAAATTTTAGTTATCAAACGGGCTTAATTAATAAGTGTTGAATATATTTATTTTATGTGTTGAATTTGGGTTAATAAACACACCCTAACTCCGTCTATTTTTCCATTAAAAAAGTTTGAGTTAATTATAAATTATATCCCTCAAAATTTAAATATTTTATATTTATGACCCAATTTTCTTTTACGGTAAATAACTCTTGTGGTATCGGGTGCTATTGGTGTCACTCCACAGTCAGGGCTGGCCCAACAGCAGGTGTAAAAAACCCTGGCTTTAGGCCCCATTTTAAAAGAAGGCCCTGATTTTTTAAACATCCTAAATAATCTATGTAAAAAAAAGCCTTATAAAAATATAAGCCCAATCAATTGTTTTAGGTCCATAATTCAATCAAAACATTAAATATCTAAAAAAAATAACAATATAAAAAAGAAGAATTGAAAAGTCATATCAAAGCCACCAAAATAATCTAAAAGTCAAATCATATCTTTTTTTTAACACTTCATCTCTCTCTCTATCGATAAACCAACCAAATCAACTATACAAAAACAATTTTTTTTTCTATCTCTCTTTTTCATTAAATTGAAACAAAAAATTAAACTCTTCTTATTCCTTCTCCTTCTCACATTACTCTCAAACCTTGAGAGCTCACAAAACTCATTACTTACAGATTATTATTTTTTTTTTGCCAAATGCTACAGCGGAGAACTCGCTGTCACAAATCACTCAAGTGACTGACTCGATAACACAATCTATCGAATAATCTTTTAGAATTGATTATTTTACATATATAATTGATCAAATTATTTTTTCACTAAAAATTAGAAGTACGAAAATATTTTTGGTTTTTTATTTAACTTAGAAAAATTAAAATCATTGACCAATGATAGTTTAAAACAATATTATTTGGATCTCAAATGTTTCTTAAAACACGAATTTTTTTTCGATATTGATGGTTTAGATTTATTTTTAGAACTAAATGTTTTAAAAGAAATTTTACAAACGAAAGAAAATATTCCAATTGAGATACTAAATTATATAAAAAGTTAGATTCTTTTTTAAATGCATGCATTGCTTATAAAATATTATTAATAATTCCTGTAACAGTTGTTTCTGTGGAAAGAAGATTTTCAAAATTAAAATTGATAAAATCTTATTTAAGATTGACTATGTCACAAGAAAGATTAACTGGATTAACGATATTATCAATTGAAAAAGATATGATATCAAAATTTGAATATAAAATTTTAATTAATACTTTTGTAACTCAAGAAGCAAAAAAAATTAAATTTTTAAATAAAAAATATTAATACTAAATATAAAAAAACTTATTTAAAAGTATTTCTTTGGGCCTCAAATTGTCTGACCACCCCTGTCCACAGTCCTCACCAACCAGTCCCCAAAGTCGGTTGTTGACAAGAGATTAAGGTAAGGTAGTTGAAGCTGAGTGTTTGGTTGGACTGAGCTGAGGGAGAGAAGAGAATTCACAGAGCGAAAATGGTGGTGAAGGTGTATGGTCCAGACTATGCTTCGACAAAGCGCGTGATCGCTTGTCTTATTGAGAAGGAGATCGAATTTGAGACTGTCCCTATCAACATCTTCAACGGAGACACCAAGAAGCCTGAGTTCCTCGCGTTGCAGGTTTATATCTTTTTCAATTGTAATTATCTCTTTTATTCCCTATGTATTGAAACATTTTCTTCTACGATCAGGTTTGTGATTATGGTTCTAGGCATGTATTTAATTCCGTATTTTGAGTGTGTGAAAAATTTATGAATCTTAGAATTAGGGTTTCATAGATCTTTTGATCAAATAAAAGTTTACATCTCTACACGATAATCACTCGTTAACTAATATACACTGTAATTGGAAAACAATATCAATTATATCATAGGTTCGATTTATATATATATATTCTTAAATGTTATTTCATAAAAATGCAGCCATTCGGGGTTGTCCCTGTCATTGAAGATGAAGATGGTACTTTATTTGGTAAGATCCCATTGATTTTTCCCTTTTTAATTCAAACTGATTTTTATGTCAAAGAATTGATTGGTAATTTTCTTTCCATGATGTTATTGAGCACATCCCAACTCTTGTATACAGAGTCCAGGGCCATCATTAGGTATTGTGCCCAGAAGTATGAGTCCCAAGGAACTGCACTGTTTGGGAAGACCTCAAGGGAAAGGGGACTAGTGGAACAATGGCTAGAAGTTGAAGCACACAACTTCCACCCACCAGTTTACAATTTGGTAGTTAACATTATGTTCAGCTCCCAATTGGGCATCACTCCAGACCCAAAGGTTATTGAAGAAAGTGAAGAAAAACTTGGGAAGGTGTTGGACATCTATGAGATGAGGTTGTCACGCAACAAGTACTTGGCTGGGGATTTTTTCAGCCTTGCTGATCTTAGCCACCTTCCATTTACCCAGTACCTTGTGGGTGGTGTAGGGAAGGAGTATATGATAAGGGGGAGGAAGCATGTGAGTGCATGGTGGGATAATATTAGCAACAGGGCATCTTGGAAGAAGATCCTCCAGCTCTAGGGATCTGGTTGTGCATCACAGGCGTTCTGTTCTCAAAATGATGTCGTCTCACTTACAAACAATATAATTTGATAAAGGATACAACGCCGTTGTTGCGATAACACCACCTCTCCAAACAACAAAGGAGCTACGACTTTTATTGGGATAGTGAGGCAGTGTGTAGTTTCTTGCCTTTGTTGTTTCCTATATAATAAGTGCCTATGACCTTGAAACTTACTTAATGTTTGGAGTGCCTATGGCCTTGAGTTTAATTCATGTTTGAAGGGCCTATATAAATTTGTGATCTACAACTTTTTATTAGTGTGAAATGTTGCAAGGGAGATGCCTCCGCTGTATGCGGAATTTTCTATTTGTTAACATGGGTATCATGCTTAAACTTTGATTTTTTTGATCTAATCTCTTTTAAGTTTGGTATATAATAACATAGTGATAGAGGGATGGAGAATTGGGAATTATGTTAACCATGAGGATGAATTGATCTTAGTCTCTTACACTTGCACTTAGTTTGATTACCCAAACCATTGATAGATCACTAGTACTATACAACTTGTGCACTACAACTTATCATCTTTATGACTTTAATCTCGCTAGCTTTTGACTTTAATGACTTTAGCTCGTTTCTAAGCAAAAGTCTGGTAACTTGAGAGAGAGAGAGAGAGAGAGAGAGGCCGGAGGACCCAAGCTGAAGAGAAATTTCTGAATATCTCATATTGCAGAACCTGCTGGGCATGGTAAGGAATTTTGCGTTCATTAGTTCATTTCCGAAAATATTGTACCATGTCCAACTTCACTCTGGTAAAAAATAAAAATTTATACCAGTCTTGAATCATCTTTCTCCAAAATTAGATAGATGAAAGTGCTTTCTTGTCCTGGTTCTTCATGTTGCTGGTCTGTTTTGGGCAACAAAAATGAATTAATGAAAGCTGTTATTAAAATGAGGTTAACGGTTGGCCTAATCTAATGGCCACCACCCTCGCTGTTTACAGGGAAAATCTACCTTAGGCAGGCACCATGCCTGTGTTTCCTCAGCTTCATAGCTCTATTTTTTTCTGTGTTTTATTTGGCAGATTCAAAGAATCTTCAGTCGACGACCATTTTTAGCATCAACAATCTTACTTATATTTGTACATCTTTAGAAGTCAATGAAAAATATAATTAAACTAAGGCTAGTGGCACTGAAGCCCCTCAAAGTACCTGCCCCCTCTAAATCAGTGCATCGGAAGGTGCAAAACAATGTCATTGTGGTCATGCTTTCATTTTCTGTATGCTATTAGACCCCTTCAGCGCTTTAAATATAAGCATCCCTGCACATTACATAAAGACAAAACTGATGATGTACAACATCACTCCTAACTAATCTGTTAGAGGTCGAGTTATTATTCGATGAGGTTAAGTTATGATAAATTTAAGACTGATCCAACAACATTAGTGTCGATTGCAATAAACCCTATTATGCATTAATCTCAGCAGATTGAGTTGTAAGTCCAACCTTATAGGCACCCTAATCAAAACAGTTTTTTTGAGTCAATCACCAAAATCTTAATTTACCACCAGAAAGGAATTGCGAGAACCCAAAAGCTAATAAAAAACTAGACTCCATCTCAATCATGAACAGCGAATCTCTATCATCAGATCAATTATGATCATAAAGATCAAGACATGGATGATCATTAACATAATCGCAAGGTTTAACATACCATCATCATCATCATCATCATCATCATCACCTTCAGCCTCGGGCTATGAAACTGGTAGGCTAAGAAAATTCACAGCAGACTTGGCCATAATGGTTGCAAATTCATTGAAACTAATGACACCATCTCCATCTGTATCAGCCTCTCGGATCATCTCCGTGAGCTCGCGATACGTTAATGGCTGACCCATTTTGGCCATTGATCCTGCAAGTTCTGCAAGGGTGATGTAGCCGTTGCCGTCGCGATCGAATGATTGGAAAACCTTCAAAAGCTGTTCCTGGTTTACGAGTATGTCTGCGTTGATGTCCGGCATTATGGCATTGACCAGTTCGTCGAATTCAACGGCGCCGTTTCCATTGGAATCTATGTTGGATAAGAGAGAATGGATTTGGTCACCGGAGGGTTTGAGTCCGAGAGCCCGGAGGAGGGCCGCGAGCTCCAGGTGGGTCAGGCTGCCGTCGGAGTCCATGTCGAAGCGTGAGAAGATGTCCCTTAGCTGGTTGAGTTGGTCAACTTGAAGCAAGGACATGGTCGTGGACGTGTAATAACACTAAAAATCAGAGGATGATGAGGATGGTGATGGTGACAATGGTGATGGAAGAGAAGACGGAGGAGACAATGGTCGTGCTGGTCGTGGTGGTGGTGGGAGAGGAGAGAGCGAGAGAGAAAGGGTGATTTTTGCTGTCTTTTGGATTGGGAGGTGTAGGATTGGGTTGTTATAAGTCTAAGGTTGTATAAGCGCGTCGGTGGATTTATTTTAGGGTAAGATGGGGTGATGAGATTCCATGTGACTTGATGGTGAGATTCAAGGAACATATTACCTACCAATAGTCAATGTGCATGCGAGGGTGAGTTAATAGAGATAGATAGGATAGGAGTAATGTTGTTGAGAAATAAATAATTAATTTATTTTATTGACATAATTATGTGATAAATAATAGAATTTTAATAAAAAAATTTTAAAATTATAGTTACAATAAACTATTTATTGACATAATTATGTGATAAGTGATAGAATTTTAATAAAAAAAAATGTAAAATTATAGTTACAATAACTTATTGAACCACATCACCACCATATCACTAACTCTACAAATTAGATGAGAATTTTAGGTCATAACATCATTACTCTAGAGATTTGGCTACTACATCCTTACTTTGTAAAAGCTACACTTTTACACACTTTGCTCATAGTGTTATTTTACCCCCTAAATATACATTTAAATCGGTTTTACATTGCCCGAAAGTAAATGTCGAGGAAAAGTGAAACAAAATCATATAGTGCAAGGAATAAAGTGAGATACAAAATTTATAATAGAAGGTAATCATTGGAGTAATGTAAAATTAATAGGTTAGTGGGAGATTGCAAGTATTTGGAGTTTATTCTGCAATGTTGGGTTTCATTGTGTCCCTGCGTCGGAGAGGGTTTTCATCAAAAAAAAAAAAGTAAAATTAATAGTTATAATTAAAGATATAATATGAAAAATAAACTTGTTGAGGAGGACAATGTGAGATGAAGGCCATTGTTGAGAGGGTCAACATATAATTTTTCCTAAAAGTACATAAGGGTGGGTTTCCTATACTTTCAGGACTTGTATGCATCTCCAAATTTGCTTATTTTGTGATTAAGTCAGCGTTTTGCACTGTTGACAAATGAGCCAAGTCCAACCTTAAAATTACTAACAAAAGTGTCCACATGTTATCACGTGGGCATCACGTGTCCATTTTCATTGAAAATGTCATTTTCAGTCGGATTATTTACGGTCGAGTTATGTACTTTGAGATTTATAATATCATTGTAAGAATGAGGATCAAAGTGACATGACACATGATTATTGTTGCTTGTAATTTAAGCTGACGTTTTCGATTGGACTTTCTAGAGTCCAATTCGAATTTTTAGGGATTAAAGTGATGTAATTGACCAAATGAAAATTAAAGTAAGACGGAAGTCTTAGTATAGAGAAAATTATTGCATCTTCTTGTTTTTTGTCTACTACAATTGTCTTATAGGATTAGGATCATTGATCATTGAAATAAAGATAATTTTTTTTTATTATTTGATGAATTTGATTAAAAAAAAAATTTGTATGTAGTTGGACAAAATTGAATAAACTGTATCTCTTTGATTGAAAACATATGATATTCTTCTGTAGTTTTGTAATACTTGATTTTGATAAGTTCTACACAATTAAATACTTAACCTATTCTTGTTCCTTTAATTTTAAGGGCAGTTCAAATGATAATAGAGACGAGTAGTAAAATCAAACGTTTTGAATTCGAATTTTAACAATCGCTTAGAGTCAAGCCATAAAAAATTTATCACTCATGAATATCTAAATTTGAGTGTGGATGACTTGTCTTTGACTATACCAAAAAAAAAATTAATTATGGTGCGCATAAACTGATCCAAACACCCCTGACTGTTGACAAAAAAAAATTAACACGACCAAGTAACCTCATTGAATACCATTGGTCAGCCCGAACCCCTCAACCCCACCTAATACGGAATTCGAATTTCGTCCCTGATTAGATTTTTCTAATTCCTTCCATTCTTGAATCACCATTCAAAATCTATAAACTTGTTTAAATATATGGATTCCACTCCAATTCACTATCAATCCGTAGTATGGGAGAAAATGAGGCCCTACGTANCTTGTTGAGGAGGACAATGTGAGATGAAGGCCATTGTTGAGAGGGTCAACATATAATTTTTCCTAAAAGTACATAAGGGTGGGTTTCCTATACTTTCAGGACTTGTATGCATCTCCAAATTTGCTTATTTTGTGATTAAGTCAGCGTTTTGCACTGTTGACAAATGAGCCAAGTCCAACCTTAAAATTACTAACAAAAGTGTCCACATGTTATCACGTGGGCATCACGTGTCCATTTTCATTGAAAATGTCATTTTCAGTCGGATTATTTACGGTCGAGTTATGTACTTTGAGATTTATAATATCATTGTAAGAATGAGGATCAAAGTGACATGACACATGATTATTGTTGCTTGTAATTTAAGCTGACGTTTTCGATTGGACTTTCTAGAGTCCAATTCGAATTTTTAGGGATTAAAGTGATGTAATTGACCAAATGAAAATTAAAGTAAGACGGAAGTCTTAGTATAGAGAAAATTATTGCATCTTCTTGTTTTTTGTCTACTACAATTGTCTTATAGGATTAGGATCATTGATCATTGAAATAAAGATAATTTTTTTTTATTATTTGATGAATTTGATTAAAAAAAAAATTTGTATGTAGTTGGACAAAATTGAATAAACTGTATCTCTTTGATTGAAAACATATGATATTCTTCTGTAGTTTTGTAATACTTGATTTTGATAAGTTCTACACAATTAAATACTTAACCTATTCTTGTTCCTTTAATTTTAAGGGCAGTTCAAATGATAATAGAGACGAGTAGTAAAATCAAACGTTTTGAATTCGAATTTTAACAATCGCTTAGAGTCAAGCCATAAAAAATTTATCACTCATGAATATCTAAATTTGAGTGTGGATGACTTGTCTTTGACTATACCAAAAAAAAAATTAATTATGGTGCGCATAAACTGATCCAAACACCCCTGACTGTTGACAAAAAAAAATTAACACGACCAAGTAACCTCATTGAATACCATTGGTCAGCCCGAACCCCTCAACCCCACCTAATACGGAATTCGAATTTCGTCCCTGATTAGATTTTTCTAATTCCTTCCATTCTTGAATCACCATTCAAAATCTATAAACTTGTTTAAATATATGGATTCCACTCCAATTCACTATCAATCCGTAGTATGGGAGAAAATGAGGCCCTACGTATAAAAAAACCATGGCCTTAGCCTAGGCAATAATTGTAGGTTCCACTGAGACAATACTTGACTATAAACCATTTTTATGTTTAATTAATCATTGCATGTTCCTCTTGCCTAACTTTGCCAGCTCTAATTTCAAACAAGCTGTATCAGACTACCTACAGGCACGTAGGCTGTCCAACTCAACTAAACCTCTCTTAATCATTGTACCAATCTATAAACTTGTTAAAAATATGTTCAGGGAAACACCAAGGGCAATTAAAGACATTTGACTTAGAGAAAAATGCTATCTTTGCCTCATTTGGTTACCTAATTTGGGACCCTAATTTATTATAGTTATTGGATGAAAATTTGATGACATGTACTATTCAAAACAACTGTAATATCACATTATTCACGTCAATATCCAATAAAATTGTTGCTCATATACGGGAAGTAGTTTTTACATGTACAATTTATTGATCTCAATATAGCATGCTGTTTGGACCTAAAATACTAATTGTAAGAACATTCGATGCATGTGTTATTGGCAAGTCTGAAATCATTAAGAGGTTGCCACTGTCAAGAGTTGAAGAAAAGGCGGGAAGCAACCAGCCACAACTCTGGTTTGAAAGAGGAAATAACTATTTGGGAGTTACGAAGCCAAATAGCCATCGATAAGGGAGAAACCATTGAGAAAAGTGGCTATAAAAGAGGAAAAGGACGAAGACAAAAAACAACTCAAACCGCACACATGACCCACGATCAAGGCATTTAGGAGTAGTGCTAGAATTAGTTTTTAGGAAGTAGTTAGTGTTGTAATCAAAGGCTATTAAATCAGTTACTTTGTAACTGAAACCCACTTGATTGAATTAATAAAGACATATTTCTTTGTTAATTCAATATTTCGTGTGTTTGGTTATCGAATTTCATCAAAAGAAGTCCTGAAACAAGGCAGTAGAACCCATCCATAAGCACTCGCTTGAGAGTTGTTTGTCGACTGAGGTATTTTTGTCAATCGCAAGCAATAATCTTTTGGCAGGCTCGGTGGGACATCTGTATTAACTTAGATCAAGGAAGATGGTGTGAATAAGGAAGTAAGACGACATTCCATTTAGGACCAACAAAACTGTGGAAATGACGTTGGTAGATAGCAATCATAAAGCAAATTCGAGTGCCCCTCCTATGGAATTTGTGAACCCAATGAATGGCCAGTCCAATGGCCAAGATAGTGTGCAGATACAAGAATGTGTAGAATCTGAAACAGATATTGCACAATCCTAATTCTGGCATTAGACAAGAAATATTTAATGTCATGCATGAGTTGATGAGTGTCCCAGCACCAGTGTTAGGATCCATCAATCAAAGGACATACACTACCACTAGAAATCTATTGTCGAATGAAGGAAATACTAGTCCTATGATATTCCTTATAGAAAATCAGATGCCAACACCAATGGTTGCTAATGAGAGACCAACTATCCCACATCAAAATCCACATCAAAATCAATTTAACATGTACAAGGATGAATGCAAGGGGAACCAGGTACAAGGACCAAGCAAGGAGAGAAAAAACACAAGGGATAGATCATTCTGTTGGGCTATTGATGGCTAAAGAGACTGTTTGGCAAAAGATCAAGTGGCAAAAACGCCAAGAGCAACAATCCCAAAAGAGAAAGGGAGAATTGAGATTATCTAGAAGGGTGGATCAAGAATAGTGAATCCCCCTAAAGTCCATCATGAT